CCTGGACAGGCTGGAGAGGAACTTGATGAAATTCAACAAGGGCAAGTGTAGAGTCTTGCATCTGGGGAAGAACAACCCCATGTACCAGTACAGGCTGGGGGTTGACCTGCTGGACAGTAGTGAAGGGGAAAGGGACCTGGGGGTCCTGGTGGATAGGAGGATGACCATGAGCCAGCAATGTGCCCTTGTGGCCAAGAAGGCCAATGGCATCCTAGGGTGCATTAGAAAGGGTGTGGTTAGTAGGTCAAGAGAGGTTCTCCTCCCCCTCTACTCTGCCTTGGTGAGGCTGTATCTGGAATATTGTGTCCAGTTCTGGGCCCCTCAGTTCAAGAAGGACAGGGAATTGCTTGAAAGAGTCCAGCGCAGAGCCACAAAGATGATTAAGGGAATGGAACATCTCTCTTATGAGGAGAGGCTGAGGGAGCTGGGACTCTTTAGCTTGGAGAAGAGGAGACTGAGGGGTGACCTCATCAATGTTTAAAAATATGTAAAGGGTGAGTGTCAGGATGATGGAGCTAGGTTTTCTTCAGTGATGTCCAGTGATAGGACAAGGGCAATGGGTGTAAACTGAATCATAGGAGGTTCCATGTGAACATCAGGAAAAACTTCTTTACTGTGAGAGTGACAGATCACTGGAACAGATTGCCCAGGGGGGTTGTGGAGTCTCCTACATTGGAGATATTCAAGGCCTGCCTGGACAAGTTCCTGTGTGATGTACTCTAGGTTACCCTGCTCTTGCAGGACGGTTGGACTAGATGATCTTTTGAGGTCCCTTCCAACCCTTAGGATTCTGCGATTCTGTGAATTATGCCCCTGTGTACAAGAAATACAGTAAAATCATATTTAATGTGGCTGCGAGAAACATCTGCAATTCACAGTGGCTCTTATTTTGTTCTGCTTTGTTTAACACAGGAAATTGCAAAGTTACATTGAATGCAGTGAAAAAGCACTGAACAGAATCTAAACAGATATCACCCTTCAAAATTGTTTCAACTAAACATGCGATATCCATAAGAGGAAACATGGCCTTGAAACGTGATGTTGATGTACCTATCCAAAGCAGTTTTCTGACAGCAGGGATTTTTTAAATGTTCTATCTCATTTCTCACCTGTGCGGCAACAGTATGAGATCTGGTGGGAAATAGCTTTGTAATACATGCTGTATTAAACCCAGCTTCTGACAAACCAAACGCAGCTCGCAGACCTGCTCCTCCTGCACCCACAACAACTGCATCGAATTCATGGTCTACTACAGGGTATTGTGTAGAAATCTGGGAAAACAAATCAGTTTGTTATGATCACAAGATTTCAAGCTAGGTCAAACTTAAGTTTTATGGAGATTCAAGCAGTATAGGTTTAATGTTCTCAAAAGACCCCTGCAGCAAGTGTTATGTACCCTCCTGGGTGGAAACGATCATTAAAAAGATATCCGTTTCAAAATTCAGTCTCATTACGTACTTGAGCACAACACAAAACACCAATACCCATTTGTTTAATGTCGCTCAAGCATTGTGTATTATCCAATCTGTTACTTAAGATATCAGGAAGTACAAACATACCGAATCAGAAACCTTTGTAGAAGCATTCCTCTTTCCATAGGCTGTGAAATGTAAATTGCGGGCAAGAGTCTGGCATGCCGCTGGCCACTATGGACAGAAATCAAGACAACTGTTATGGAACACATTTCACATTAAATGTTTCCACAAGGAAGGCTGCCAGCATTCTCAGCTGCCCTACTTTTATAACAAACCTTTACTTACCACTGATACCACATACACAAAAACATTGTATCAACATATTTGAGAGCTACATGCAATGAAGTTTTGGCTTTCCTATATTTTCCGGGGGAAAAAAAAATAAATAAAAGGAAAAAAAAGGTTTTGACTTGATGAGAGAACAGCATGTTTCAGGCTGTTATTTTACTTTATTAATACTAGACAGTCTCTCAGACCTATCTGAGGCTGCACTGACAGAAAAATATGTTTACAATTAATGCTGTAGTATTCTTGCAGGTTTTTCATTCAGTAAAGATGGAAGATGGCTTTATGAGAACCACAGCAATTAATGGGAAATACCTCTCATGTCAAGCAATCCTGAGAATTTGAATTATTTCAGGTGGGCAAGAATAACAAAGATAAAAACAGATGGTAGGGAAAGCTGTTCCAGCTCATTATTGCTGCAAAAGTCAGAGATATTTCTCTTCTTTTAATTCTCTATTAAGTGACCAATTAACCACTTATTAATACCTAAGTGAAGCACAGAGTTTCCCCTTCTGTAATGTTATTCCCTCTCCCCTGGCACGTTCAAAATCAAAACAAAAAAACCCAGCATCCAAACCTACTCAATACCCAGGCTTTGCTTTGACAGGTTAAAATAATCACAGTTTTAGTCTTCATCATATAAAACTCCAATGCCTTGGAACCTGGTATCCCTTCTTTACACCATTCAGAAGAATACACCTAACTCAGCACGTACAATCGATGAGAATGGCAACACAGAACATAACAGTGACCTCTGCACTTCCCTATTTGAAATACATCCTAAAATGCACTGGGACTGATTTTTGCCATTTCCAGCAACTGTTACAGCCATGGTTCAACCACCCTGTAACATGCTAACAAGCAGGCCTTCCCTCTGTGTCACTGCCAAAAGTCCACCTCTTCCCCCACCCCTGACATGAACTACAATACAGTTTCCTCAACCTACTTTTATCATCTCATACTAGTTTGCTCAAATTATCTTCTTGCATAACAGTGAATCTAATGGGTCATTGCACAAACACATTTCTGGTTTTTACAGCCATCTTTTAAGAAAGACCGGTCTTAACTCCTACCTGGAAGGAGTTCTACTAGTGCCCTCCTCCAGGCAGCTACTCTCCTCCTTCCACCCTACTATTTTATCACACTCTGGGTATTTACCATCTTCATTAATATTTCACATACAGAATCAGATCAACTAGTTCACCCAATGAAATCCAAGTATCAGATGTAGTTTACCTACACAACAGATTACCCAAGAATCACAGCTCAACCTGAAAGGGGGTGTCCTCTCTGTAGCAAAACTGCTTGCACAGGCCTGAGTGCAACTGAAGTTCGACTGCAGAACTGTAACTGACATGGCAGGCTACAAGGCACACTTTAAATGCAGCAGCCATACATTCTCCAGCATGTATTACTACTGCTCGTTTCCAAAATCTTGTTCCAGCAACAGTACAGCTCTTTTTACTGCAATAAATTATTCGCCATAAGTAAGCAACAGTACAGTTATTGCACCAAACAAATGAAAGAAAAACTATACTGTAGGTAAAGCCAGCACACAACAGGTTTGTACATACTTTGTATTGCTTAAATAAACTACAAATGACCAAGAGGAAAAAAACACCAAAAAAAATCCCAATCCCAAAACCTGTAAACTGTTCTTATGCCCTAAAACTGCAAAAGAAATTGACTAGTTTTTCTTCCCCTTAAACAGCCTGCTACAGCCTCCAGTCAGAATCCTGCCACAAAGACTTGCAACTGATTTCCTTTCAGAAAACTTTCTTATTTTCTGAAGTTGCTACAAACAGTTATCAAATATATTTTGCATCAGAGAACACTGGAAACATAATACAACCCCCCAAGCCACACAACTGTTTAGCTTTCTTTTCACAAAACTGCTATTTTTTTCACAAACTGCTATTCCCATCCATATACTTTTTTGTTAAAACTACACATAAGAATTTCTGCTGCCACTAAGTGTTGTTCTGAATAAGCCTGAATAAAAGTCCATAGAGCAGAAAAAAAAAAGTTATACTAAATTTGAAAGAACACTGGTCGTCGCACTGATCCTGAACTGTTATGCTAGCAGGAACATCATGGCCCTTAGCAATTAAGGGTCCTATCAGGGCCAGTTCACTGCCCTCCCAAACATGTCACTTCTAAGCCCTTCTCCCTGCCAGCTGGTTGCCTTTTCTGCACTTGCTTTACAAGACAGGGGCACCTACAGCTTCATTTACATGCTCCTTTTCCCACACACTTAACTTCTGTAATCCCAAACACACCATGGACAAGCACGATGAGAACAGTGGAAAGAAACTGAAAACTCCCGCTTCATCACGGAGAAAAACAAGTCTTCACTGCTTGCAGATCAGCTACAACAAAACTGTTATGACACTGAAGAAGCACTTCTGCAAACACACGCTGAACAGATTTAAGCAACACGCAGACACGCACCAGCTTCCCGAAAGCGCCAGCACTGAGCTTCATACCCAGGCACTGGCGCTGGAAGGCGCCGCCAACTGCCAAGCTCTCCCAGGGCCTTTTCCCGGCGCGCCCCGTACCCGCTGCCAGCCCACTGACGGCCTAAGGCTACGCGTTTGCTTCCCACTCCAGGAGAAGCGGCCTGGCCACAACCGCAGTCGGTTAATCCCTTGAGCCGACCACAAGGACAGCCCCGCTCCGGAAACAGAGCCGGAGGAACTGAGTCTACCGAGGGAGCAGTCGGCTCCGCAGGGCTCTCTGGCTGCCCCGTTGCTGCAGCCAAGCCTGGCTCACCGCCCCAGGGCGGGTGCTGGCAGCCAAGGTCACGGCGGAGACAACGGGGTACGGGCTGCCACCGGCCTCCGCGCACCTCAGCACGGGGGAGGGCGGGGCAGGCCGGAGCCAGGCGCGCTCCCCCACCACGGCTAAGGAGACCAGGCAGGAGTCTCACGGAGTCCTGAGGCCCAGACGGCCCGGCCCCCTCCGGAAGGGGCTTCTCCGCGCCAGCTTCGCTGTCTGGCCCCTTCCCCGCCACCAGAACGCCGGCGGAGGGGAAATCAGCCCAACGCAGGGCAGAGCGGACCGGGCCGGGTCAAAAACAAGCACTCACCGGTCTCATCCAACGCCTCGCCAAACCCCGCGAAGCCGCTACCGCCGCCGCCATCTCACACGGACCCGGGGGAAGGAGCAAACACGCATGCGCGAAAGCGCCGCTAGCGACTCAACTACCCGCAAGGCTCAGCGAGAGAGACCAATTATGCTGAGAGGGGGGGAGTCGCGGGCTGAGCGTGTGCGTGTTTGCATGCGGGATTTCCCACCAAATCTCCCCCTCGTCCCACCACCTGAGCTGCCTGGGATGGGGCCAGGCCACCGAAAGCGTTTAGGGATAGGGCGAACCTGTTTGCTGTCCCCGTCGGATACCCCCCTCTTTGTCTCGGCTAATGGGCCGGCCCAGTGGGGGCCGCGTCCGCTGGTAAGTGACAGCACCCGCACTCCGCCGCGGCCCGTGCTCCGGGCTGGTAAGTGTCCGTCGGGCTGTGGGACAGCGCCATGGGGCCGCGCTCCCGTCCGGGCTGCCTGGGGACCTCCGGGGTGGTAACACCAGCAGTCAAGAGTCCTGCCGGCGTGGAAGGGGTGGGCGGTAACAGCGGCAGTGCCGAGGCCCTCGGGGCCGAGCGCGGGCGGACAGGCGCGGGGTGGGCCGCGCAGGGGGGGCTCTGGTCGGAAATCACGTCCGTGTGAAGTACCCAATTGCCGCCGTTCGAGGGTTTCGGGCAGAAAGCAGTACGGTTGGGTGCGGGGCTATCGTGGTGTTCTGCGTGCCGCTGAGGCCGTGCTTCTCCCCTGTGCTTCGCAGGTGCTTCCATGAATAATTTAAATGACCCTCCCAACTGGAACATCCTGCCAAATCGACGGGATCCCGGGGATGAAGGCAGCAGATGGAACTACGCCCTGCTGGTCCCCATGCTGGGCTTGGCCGCTTTCCGTAAGTAGTGCCCGGGCCTCTCCAACTTGCCCGCTGGCCAAAGGGAAGCCTCTGAAGTAGTGCAGTGGTACCCCGTCTAGGGATTTCCTCTGGCCTGCTCTTTTTTAGTGCTCTGAACAGTAAGCACAGCTTATAGCATAAGTAACAGCTATTTCTCGCGCATGGAATTGAGTCTGTATTTAATAAGCTCCCATTTATAAAGCCGTCTCAGAAGAGTGGACGTACAATGTTCTAGAGAGGCCAAAAGTAACAACTCAGGGAGCTGCTGATGTATAATTTATGTACTGGACTTGGAAGGTTCTCAGTGCATTTACTGTATTGGAAACCTCCAGTCCGATTTCCTGTAACTATTTTCCCTCTTTAATCCAAGAAGTGCATGTGTTAACAATAAAAGACTTGGCAGATTTTTTTTTTTTTTGCTTCATAGCATCATAGAATCACAGAATGGTTTGGGTTGGAAAGTACCTTAAGATCATCCAGTTCCAACCACCCTGCCATAGGCAGGGATGCCTCAAACTAGACCATGTTGCCCAAGGCTGTGCCCAACCTGGCTCTGTCCATCTTCAAAGGAAACTTGATCATTTCAAGTGACTTAAAGTGAAATATGGATCCACAGAAAAACATTTTGTGGGATGTGTGAATAGAAGTGAATATTACTGGGGAAGGCAGGAAAGAAAGTTCTTTACCACTTCATAGCTTCTTTCTTCACATAGTTAATTAATCATACCCATCAATGTTATATGTGTTATTCTTATGTCCGAAGTCTCAATTTATATATGATAGGTTGGATCTGGACCAGAGAATGTCAAAAAGAAATAGAAAGAGAAAGAAAAGAATACTATAAAAAACATTCATCTTTACAAAAAGATCTGGAAGGCAAATACCGGGATATAATCACAGAAAACCGTCGCACAGTTGCTCATTTGGAGCTGGAGCTTGAAAAGGAACGCAACAGAACCCTGAGTTACCGGGAAGCCCTCGTGTCCCAGAGTCGCAAACTAGTAGAAGAAAGAAGGATCCTAGAACAGGAGCAGGAGAAGTTAGAGCGAGAGAAACAAGTCCTTTTGCACTCAGGAGCAGAAGGTAGCTTGTACCAAAGTTGTCTGGCAAAGGAAGAAGACTGGCAAAAGAGAGCCAATAATTTACTAAAGGAATTTGAAGAGGGGCTTAAAGAAAGACAGGACATCTACTGCAGTCTTGTGGTACCCAGAGGCCAGAGACTAGAAATAGAGAAAAATCTGCTAGTTAAAGCAGCAACTGATCCTGTTGCTATGGCTCTACATATGGAAAGTGGCTTAAAAGATATTTTCAAACATGATAACTACTGTGGCAATATGCTGAACCGAAATAAAAGTCAAAATGGAAAACTTATGTGGCTGTATCTGAGATACTGGGAGCTAGCTATTGAGCTACAGAAGTTCAAGAGAGCAGAAAAGGCCATGTTAGGAAAACGATAAGCAGGGGAAGTAACGAGATTTCATGTGATCCACTGTGCATAGTAGGGACAATCACAGTTGTAGTCTGAAGCTGTTAAGTTCTCCTACTGTGTTTCCGTTCCTCCTCCTCGTTGCACTTGCATATGCATGGGACTTTTGCAGAGGTTGCTGCCTTTCCTTTCACTGTCTAACAACAGATGCTCCAGTTAGCTATGCATGCTCTTAAACTCTGTGAGTGTGTTTGTTTTGCAGACTGCAGCATAGTAGAGATAATGCCAGCTTCCACAGGAATCAGAAGCAGCAGAACAGGACTCGGTTTAGAGTGATTTACCTGGTTGATGGTCATACTCCATCAACAGAGAAGTGTGATTTTTCTCCCTCAAGTGAGATAGCACATTGTGCTCCTTTTCACTGATATTTTACATGGTGTCTCAACACTATCTTTTTTTTTTTTTTTTTAAGCAAGACTGATTTTGAGGCATACATTTGGAAAACATGTTTGAGCAAGCTTCTTGCCACATAAATCCTGCATGCATGTACATACATTTATGTAAATATATATTTGTGAATGTGTGTGCATATAAGTGTATGCATTAGTATTTTGAGGGAGGGGAGTAATATCATATTTCAAATTAATCAGTCTTGCATTGTCTTCCAGCTTAATATACAAATAGTATTTTATGAATGAGCTATCCAAAAGATGCTAATTAAAATAACACATAAAGAAAAAGATTGATCAAAGTCTCATTGGAGCTTAGGATCTATGGTTGAATACTTGAGAGTGTATAAACCCAAAGTTATATGCTCATCATTCTGGACATATGTTAAGAATACTTACTTTTTTCTCAGTCAAGGTTTTATTTGTAAACCAACAGTGTGCCTCAGATGTCACTGTGCCACTGTCTCTGCATCCCAGTGCACTGCAGTTCCTCCAACTGCAGGAACCTCCATGGGTTACAGCTGTTGCATCTGGTTCACACAGGTCCTTTTTGTTATTTGCAGATAGAAACCTAAATGCAGCCTGCACTGATAGCCCCTATCTGCCTCTCTGACTGCGAGTTCTCCCAGAACTGAAGTATATGTCCCCATGACTTAAATTTCAAGCTTATGGTTCAATGCTTCACTTATGCATGACATTGGAAGTCTACAGTTATACAAGCTTTGCAAACTTTTAAGGGGGCTTTTTCAGTTAATTAACATAGGCAAACAAACATACCTAGATTTAAACAAAACAAGCAGAACAGTGCATTTCCGTGCTTGAAATCCCTTAAAACGCTGAGTGTTCTCTGGGTCTGTGTAGCAGTAGGAACCACCTTCTTTTTTCAAATGTGCCTTGTATTTTGGAGAGTAACTTTTTCTTCCTCCTTTTGGAATTAGCCCTAGACCTCACAGGGCAGTGTTTACCCTTTTGTTTATAACATCTGGTCTTCTCTCTTACTTGCCTTTGATTAGTGTTGGTAGGCTGTCAGTTCTTTAATTAGCAGTTCTTTATTTACTGAGGGCTAGACTTGGCAAACACATTTTCTCTAGGCAATCAGCTACTGCATGGCAGGGAAGCACTCCAGGTGAAGGCACATCCAGGTTTTAATAGAGAACTCCAGCAGATATGGGGGGTGTTTTTTAGTGTTTCCTTTTGGTTTCATTTCAGTCTGGACACAGAAGACAGCAAATAAATCCTTTGAAGTAGCATGTGCAACCTAATGCAGTTACTAAGCAAAAATATCTAACATGAAACAGAATCCTTAAACAGAATACATGTTTGCCAGCTACTCAGTTTTTCAGTTGTGATTTTGCTCCCCTTGGTAGTACTAATTATATTGTTGTATTGATTTACTTGTCTCTTATGTACTGATTTTTTTTTTTTTTAAATAAAATTGTAGTAGATGGACAGACCTGGAAAAAAACTTAAATAAAGATACTGTCACAAACACCAGAGAGGCCAAAGCTTGTCTGGATGCCAAGCATATATGGGTTGGGAGATGAGACTGCAATTGAGTTACTACTCTTGTATGACAGCCTGAGGACAGCTGCTATGGCTGCCACATACACATGCCCTTATTGCCCAGTATATTGAATAACTTATCTTGTGTATAATTCCACCAGGATATGGGAAATGTCTTACCACACAGCTGTGGCACATTTCGTATGTGCATACAGGCAGCTGAGCAACTTGGCTTACAAACAGCAGCCAGTGAATCAATGTCAGTGTATTTGAAAATCATGTCTTGGATTTGTACATATTCATTAAATTTTAGTATTAAAAGGTCAGGCATTTTATGCTGTTTTTTTTTTTTTTTTCCAGTTTGTCATTGACATTCAAAATGTTTAAAGAAAATGTAATCAAGAGGGTGAAATGTATACTTTATACTTTTTTCAATATACATATGTAAGTTGAAGCATCATACACTCGATTGTACAGGGTTGGATGCAATGTAATATGTGTTTGATACTCGCTTTCCCTTTTTGAGAAGTATTGATTATTTATACGATGAATTGTTGAACTATTTCTCATGGATACTTTGCAGATCATTGTATAAAGACAGAAAAGTTATTTGAGGAGGGTTTTTTAAAGTGTGTAAAGTTTAGAAGCACTGGTCCTGATAGTTTCTACCAAAACTCATGTTTGTCGATCTGTTCCGTATTTGTAGAAACTTTCCCCCTTTGTAAGTCATCATGTTGAAAATTCTATTATGAGCTTTATCTTGCCAAACAGCTCTTGTTCTGGATTGGTTGTTTCTTTGGAAATGCCCATATATATGTAAAATGCAAGAATCATTTGCTTTCAGAATATTTCATGAACCTTTTTTTGTTATGAAAATTGTCGCTCACCTGTTAATAACAATTAATAAAAACCCTTACATATTTCTGCACTGGTTTGTAACTTGGGCAAGGGGGGGGATTTACTATTCCAGTTTTCCAAGCAAATTGCACAATTTTAAGTTTTTAAAAATTGGACAGTTTTTAAATTGGCATGTTTTGTCGTTGGTGCTGAGAAGAGAGTATGTTGGAAAGATTTTATCTATCTTAGGAAAGAACTGCGTTGTTAAACAGGTAAGTGCACCAGTTTCAACTAAAGATGAGTGATTAAAGGTGACCGTCCCACTGAAAGACTGGAGTAATTCCTTCTGTTTGTTCTGTAGGGTACTCTGCCTTCCTTCAGGATCCCTCTGATGTATCTCTCATTCTGCACATCAGCTCCTTTTAATTTCAGTGTGGATTTTCTCTTGCTGCTCTCTGTGAGGAACTGCAATCCAGCTGCTCTAGGACAGTGTTCAGACACTGGAAGTCTTGTTTCCTTCATAAAAGATCCTTAGTCTCTTTGTATTTGACACATTTATCCATTTCTTACATCACAGCTAAGTCATCCCCCATCCATACTTTGCAGGGCAGTAGCTGTGTTCATATGACTTTCTACATTTAGACACAGGTAAGGAGACACCTTGAGATAACTTGTGCTTTTAATAAAAGCAAAAAACCAGATATTTGGTCTGTGTTGGGCGATACAGCTGCTGTCGTGTGTGCATGCAGCCCAAAGAGAAACACAAACCACGCTCTCAACTTCACGGAACTTGGGCTGAGTGCTAGAAAAGGGAAATCTCCCTCAGAAAGTGTTCCTAAAGGGGGGTGGGCAAAAAGGAGCAGCCCGGAGGGTCTGGCTTTCTCTTACTCCTTTTACCTAAAGAGCTGCCAGAAGACTGCTGACATGATGTCTTGCTCAAAGGGATGCTGTGGTCTGGGAGTGACAGCTCTGTTCAAGCTCTCCAGAAGGGAAGGGTCTTCAGAAGCCACCTGTGGCCTCTTGCTCTTTGAATCATGTTTTTGAGCACTCCTGCATGAGATTGAGAAAATACTGAGTGTTCCTATGTGGATTATGCAAGTCGGAAACAGTGGTCAACAGTTCACACAGTATGGCAAAATCAAAGGAATTTAAGTTACTGCTGTGATAAAAGGATGAAGTTCAAGTTTACTCAATAGTTATGGGCATGGTGTTGGATATGAAGCCTTTGCCTGTGTGCATGCCAAGGCCACTTAGTCATTAATGGACTGCCTTGTCCAGGAGCTGTCCAGCTAATGACTGCATAGCTGAGACAACAGATGGATCTGCAAAGAAGTAACTCACTGAAATGGAGGATAGCTTGGCAATGAGATCAACTGATCTGCCAGCCACTTCACAACAAAACAGTCAACTGAGGGCTGTGGGAGCTCTCCCAGCAGCTGGCACCACTCCAGTGGTTTCCCCAGCGAGCTCCTGCTAATAGGCATGAGCTCTGCTCTATAAAGCTGATAGACGCTGTCTGTGTGATTAGATATATCGCTTAATATCGCTTAACCACTTGGGGTGAAGGATCCAGTGCACAGTGAGGGTTTTCCCCAAGCAGTTCCTGTTGTCAGTTAAAGAATTGACCAAACGTGCATAATTTTATATAGTCAGTGGAAATCAGTCCTGCCTGTGCAAGGCTGAGCATGTGGGGCTGTGTTTTGTTTGTAGTTAAGAAGTGTTTTGAAGGAGGTAAACATATAAAAGCTCAGCATCTGACCTAGACTAAGTTTAAAAGACCTTGTACAGACAGACTTTCAAAGTACTGGTATTAGCAGAACTTTGACTTACAGAGGGCAACATCTGTGCTCAATAGTATCAAGGAACACAGAACTATTTTGATACTGAAATCAACTTACATGGCAAAACTGAGAGACCTATCACAATCTGATCAACCATCTTAATACTCTTTCCATGGATTCTGACAACCAGAATGGCTGATGGGTGACAAAGAGGCCTTATAGCTCAGGGTTCCCTGAGAGTGTACAATCACTCCAAGTCATCATTCAATATGCTAGGAAAAACCACAACCCTTTTGGACAGTATTCACAGAAGTGTCAAGGCCTCCTACTCAGTGCCACACGAGCATTCCTTCTGGTTCCAAAGTAAAAGGAACTGCCTAAGAACATGGCCAGATGATCTGGAAGTGCCACCACTCATCTGGAATTGAAAAAGGATCACTACTATGTATAGTGCTAATGGAAACAACTGAAAGTAAATGGTGGCTCTGGAAACAAAGAGCGTGCACAGAGGGACTGTGAGATGCGCCGTGATGGCCATTCGCTGTTGTGCACCCCAAGCAGTCCCGTGCTCCAGGCTGATCCAAGCCTCAGCCGTCCAGCTGCTGGAAAAATGTCTCTTCACCTTTCCCTTTATAAGTGCTCCTGCAGGTCTGGGTCTGTATTTCTGAGACACCTCACCTCTAAACCAGAACGAAATCCTCAGCTAAAGCGTTTGGTGCCTCTTATTACTAAATGCTACCTCCCCCTTGTGGCTGATGGCTCTTCAAGCCAGAGCCTCAACAAAGCTTTTGTTTTGTTCCCATGAGCTCCTCTTGGGAGCATCTCTGGTGCTACGTGCTCTCTGCTCCAAACATGACTAGAGTGTAATAACAAAAAAAGACTGGAAAGACCAT